CTAACATACATTCTCCAAGGAGGAATAGTTCTCCGATGTCTCTGCCGGAACCGATTGTGCGTGATTCTTAGCAGCTCAGTCCGATGAATCGAAATTGTCGACATCGCCGCCGATTAGAAGCGACTTCGACCTGAGAAATCTGAAGAAATAAATCTGTTTCAATGGAGAGAGAAAAGTTGGATAAAGACGATAAGGACAAATAAGTCATCTCCGGAATTTTTAACCTTGTAGATAGAGATACATGAAGCTGGCGCGTAAAATAGAGTAATAAACTAAAAAAATATCTGTAATTTTTTTTTCTCATACTTGCTCTATCGAACAGTCAAGATTCTGCCACGTGGCGAATTCGGAGGCATAGGTTTGACTTGTAGAAAAATGGAGAGTTGTTCAAAAATGGCGATCAAAATCCAGAGTCTACGAAAATTGAGTTAAGCAGGTGCATAGAAAGAGAGAGATTTGTCATGTAAAATTTCGTCCAGCTTTTTTCTTCTCTAGTGAGAATAGTAATCATTGACAGAGCTTTTCTCTCTGCTTCGGCTTTTGTCCCATATTCTAAGTTTAAGACAAATCCACATATCTACGGTCTAACTTGTACCAAAGATTATACATTTCCATTGCATAAACCTTGATGAAACAGGCGATTACCAAATCCCATAACTAACATGAAACTCTCTGTAATTGACCAAACACATATTTAAAGCAAAATCTATGGATATGTTTATGTGGTTTCCTTGTGATAATGTCAATATCTCTTCCAAGTTTTCACAATGGCATGGCTCACACCAAGAGTACCTGAATGCAACAAAAAGTTATACTAACAATGTTGGATGACAAGGAGTGACTAGTTGGAAAGAGACCACATAAAACGTACACTTAGGGATTGAGGGCCTATAGATAATCCGAGTGGGTTAGAATGGCCTCTACTCTGTCCAGCGATGCCTCTAAACGTCCAGAGCTCATGTTGAATAACGGTTCTTCAGTACCAAGAGCCCTGTTTCACCGAACAAAAATAAGGACAGAGACTTGGGAAAGTGGAGGATGTGATTTTAGATAGATTTGCGAGACTTGCCCAGTAAGCTCTGGGAGTACAAAATCAGCTCTCCAGCCAAACCGAAAATCGATACCAGGACTCAAACCAAGAGTAGTTTTGTTTCGGATGCGGGACACACCATCTCCACCCAGACATGAGGTAAGCTTCCATTTCCAACCCATTGCATTCATTTGAAAATTATGGCCAACACCAACCTGCAGACTGTGTAAGATTACAACATACTAGTGTTACTGTATGCAACAAAGAGAAAGAAGAAACCTGGAGGTTAAGAAATCTGGTAAGAGGGATCTTCTTTGACAAAACTCGAACTTCTTGGTGTAGAGGCTCATATATGAACTTCCACTTCCTTTCTGGTGACAAAGGCTTCAAAACAAGCTTTGCGTGGTAATCATTCGTGGGTTCGTTATATAACTGGGAACAAAAGATACATCTCTCTCTCTTTAGATTCCCTAATAGACTGACTACTTGTCAAAATTCACTGATTCGTTATCCGATTTTGTTAGGAAGAAATTGAAAGATATCTCAAGGGACAAGGAGCAGACCTCGAGATTGACGCCGACGCGAAGACCTTGGAGCTCTTTACGGAACTTGAGGAAAAGCTCCGAAGGCATTAGGTTGACCTTGTAAAGCTCGTCCCATGACGGAGGAGGTTCCTCCGGTCGCGAACTCGGCGGCTCCATACGATTTATCGAATCCCAACCAACAAAGGATGGGGGATGTTGGGGTTTTGACACCCCCAACGGAGAAAATCGGTTCGATTCCGGTACAAGTTGATCTCCATACCGGTTCATAATAACCGGAAAACCAAAGGAGAATAATAACCTGTCCGAAAAAATCAATTAAAAAAAAAAAAGATGTTGACTCGTTTTGAAACACAAACTATCTTGTCACTTTTTTTAATGCTCAACAAGTACACAATGCAAGTAAGAGCTCTTTTCATTTCAACAAGCAAGAAAAGCTTCATTCCGGTATAAGAGGCTCCATGATCTTTTAGCTACACCATCATCAGCTCCTTAGTTACAAATCCAACCTTGATGAAACCTAGCTTCGCTTTCCATCTCACAACTGAGGTTGCTCAGATGGCTCGCTCATCTGCTTTCTACGCCCACCTGCGACTTCCTTCTGTAGTTCGGAGTTTGACATCCGCTCCACTTCCAATGCTCTCTCAAGCTATAATATTATTGTAAACAAAAACCGAATCACTAATCAAAAGATATATCTTCACTACAAAAGATCACAAGCTTGTTTCTCAAAATTAAACACCAATTACATTTGCTGCCCGCATGCTCCATTCACTCAAAATTGCCCTCAGCCTTTCGTTTTCTTCAATATACTGCAACACCACACACAAAAATATTACTTAGAATCTTGAATAAACCGAAATATATTCCTACAATGTCGGTTTCTGCAAAACCTGATTGTTGGTACTGCTGACTCGCTGCACCTCTGCATCTCTCTCGGCTATCAAAGAACGAGCAAGCCGTAGCTCAGATTGAAGCTGATTAATCTGCAAGGCAACGTTATTGTTGTTAAGAATAAAAAATTTATAGAGTTTTTGTTTCATCATAGAGATAGAGCTTCAGAATCAAGTATTACCTCGGCTGAAAGTGTCCTGAGCTCCTGGTCTCGAGCAGCTAAAAGATGTGCGAGATCAACCTATCAAGCATTATTACACGTATAACTGTACCGATGAGAAATTAAGCGATTTGACATTATAAAGGAAGCCAAAGCCAATCCTCACCTGAGGTGTGCTTCCATCATCAGATTGTTCATATTTGCTGAGCTTCTCTTGCAAAGACAGAATCTTTGAAACCCATAATCAACAAGAGAAAAAGTAATTATCATATTATCGCGGCTCACTAAACAGGAAAGGCCAAAGAAAACCAAGCAGCATAGATGAAAAGATGATTTAACAAAAGCGTTTGTATTAGTATCATCACATACCTCCTCACTTAGAAAATGGAGGTTTTCGCGCTGATATTGTAGCAAAGCTGTTTGTTGGTCAGAAAGTCGACCTTCGTAATACCTTTCATACCAAACCGGAAAAAAGAAGATGTTAAATTGTGCCATTACTGGCCAAAGCAAATACACTAAGGACTAGGACATTCATTACCTCAAACCTTCCATAGAGCTTGACGGCTGAAGAGGAGAATATAATGACTTTAAGACATCTGGCCGGGAATTAACGGAATTGTACTGTTGCACATAACCTGAAATTACACAGCATCTATCACTACCAAAAAGCACCAAAAGTACTCTGGTAAAACTATCGGACTCAAATTTAGTTCCACATTAACATATACCATCATTCAATTTAATGTTTTTTTCCTTGCAAATTAATTGTCAGTGTTCTGATTTTAGGCAACATACAGTTCACTTTTACATAAAAAGGTTACATCAAGAGCTCCATAACATTCTGGCTTATGAAAAGCTAGCCACGTTATATCAGAACGAGACACTCACCAATATATAAACTCATGAAGAAGCCAGCGCACACTGCTTCGACCAGCATGATGATCCTGCAGTTCATATCCACATTACAAAAATCATGGACAAAAATAGCATTCCAGCAAACTACCAAGAGCTGCTCTTGTTTCAAATTTGCTATGGTAGGATTATAGAATATTGTCACAATTATTGGCAGAAAGCTATTATTATATGTAAGATTTTTTAAACAGTGCTTTTCTCAAATTGATTTATTACACACAGTGCAAGATAGATACGTTTCATTAAGATACTCAAAGTGCGAACAATGAACTACCAACCGTTGCAAAGCAGAAATAGAAAGAATGAGGATTTGGGGCTTCCATACTATCACAAGAAGCATTGCAGCGGTCCCTGGAAATATATTGAAGGTATCATATTAAATTAATCACAAATTAATATCAAATGGTCACAAAATGACTCGGAAACAAGGTAAAAATCAGCCATGGATTACAGTCAGAGTTTCCACACGAATCTTGAACATATCTACAAATAAACTAACAAGTCAAAATGCATTTAAACCTTTTCCATATCATAAATAATCACAAAACATCGTGTTTGATTTTATCTTTGGTATATATATATTTTAAAAATTTACAAGTGTTTGAGTCCCAAATGAAGTAAGAAAATGTGAAGCCAATCTGGACATAATCGTTTTGATTATCAGCATAACTCAACGAAAGATTAAATAGTAAAATCAAAAGATTTAAAAGAACAGAAGGACAAAGAAAAAGTTTATGGTAGGGAAGATACCATATGCAGAGATTGCAAATGGCAGACGAACAACATGCTTCAACTTCTGACTGAAAGTGTAATAACCCTGCAAACGATTGTCATATTAATTCGTCTGATCAGTCAAAAACAGTTTTAACTTTTTAGTAAAGGAAATGTACTCTTTCTAGCTAAATCTTATTTAAAACAAAAAAAAAAAATACAGTAAGCTGTCACCCAGCTATCCAGTTTTTGAACCTGAAGACGTATTTTCTGGACTTGAAAAACAAAGTACTGTTGGAAGAGACCTGCGAAATGACACAAGAACATAAAGCCAATGAACAAAAAAATATGGCTTCATAATAAAACTAGCAAAAAAGGTCATTCAGATTGCGAGAAATGCAGAACAGAGACCAATGCGAGGGAGAGACAGATCAATATTATACAATATATACGCATATACACATAGACACATATAATAAATAAATGTTACTACATTCAGTCAATGTGAAAGAGCAAAATCACTTGCGTGCTCTCCACAGGTATTAAAACCAAAACAATGACATGAAAAAATAAATGTTGACAACATAAATAACGGATAAAGTGACAAGAGTACAGAAGAAGCTTTTCAGGTAGTCTAAGGCTTTGATCGAGACCTATGTTCTTCTATAGCTACTACCGTAGACCTTTTCCGTAGAATTGTAGCTGAGTTGCCAGCTCAGATAACTAACAGCTTAGAGTGGAGAATGTGCTGAGTTAAATAGGTCTGAGAAGAAGATCTGTTCAACATATGTACGGAACACTTTAGGTTCTTTCTTAGGGTTTGGTCATGCGTTCTTGAATGTAATCGACAATACAAGATCAATAAAGGAAGGAACCCGAACCTAGCACAAACAAACATACATACACTAAGAAAAAATAACAAATCTAGGAGAAAAGTCAGAAACCTGTGACAACCAAAAGGGCCACATCGCAGCAGCAGAGCAATGAAGGGGTCAAGTGGTTGACTTGATGAAAAATCCAAGGAGTTGCTGCAGCTAAAATAGCATAGCCTGCCTATGTAAAAGGCAAAAACTATCAAAGGCAGCTTAAAATGCGTGCGGCATATGAAATTTCCAAATAGAATTTTTGAGGAACTTGCCAATATAACCATATAAAGGTAACTTCCAACAAGGCTTCTGGATTTCCTGTGACCGAATAATGGTGCTTCCTGCAATATGTCAAGGAACCTACAAGCAACAAGACATATAAACTGAATTTAGATCCAGATACTAAATCTAGTTTTCTTCT